CTGTATCAGAAGTCCTATCTAGTACAATAAATGGGAGAAAAAGAAGGAAAGAAATAAAAGGTATAAAGTTTGAAGGAAGGAATAAAATTATTTCTGTATGCAGAGGGCATATTCATTCATGTAGAAAATCACTTAAAATATAGAGAAAATTCAATGCCAAAAGCATTATCTTTGAAAATATTGATAAGTTGGACTTTACTCCACAGCACCAAGAATGAACCTTCATGCACACACATTGAAAATCATTTTAAAAACTTGGAGAGGTTAGAATGAAATGCTAAGTATAACAAACAGCCCAAGTCTGCTATAGATATCAGAAGCAAGCAGCAAGTAGGGACACGTGGTGATCTAGCTCACTCTGCAGCGGAATGGAGTCTGTAAAACAAACGGCGGGGACGCACTGTGGTGGAGCGGGTGAAGTCGCCACCTGCGTTACAGGCACCGGTTTGTGTTCTGGCTGCTCCACTTCCAATCCAGCTCCCTGCTAGTGCTCTGGGAAAAGCAGCAAAAGACGGCCCAAGTGTCGAGGCCCCTGCCACTCCCATCGGGAGACCCGGATGAAGCTCCTGCATCCTGCCTTCAGCCCAGCTCAGACCTGGCTGCTGTGGCCACCCGGAGAGTGAACCAACAGATGGGTGATCTGTCTCTCATTCTCTCTCGGTCTCTCTCTCTCTCTGTAAATCTGCCTTTCAAATAAATAAATAGATCTTAAAAAGAAGAAGAAGAAGAATGGCAAAACAAACCACATAAACACTGTTCTTTAGGTGGTAAATTGCTCCCTGGGCGGGGGGGTGGGGGGGTGGTGAGTACACAATGTGAAACTGCTTGATACACACGAGTGTATGTGAATGGACGGTGGGCGGCAGGAGCCAGATCTTCACTGTCGAAGTGGAAAACTTCAGATAGCCAGGCGGGGGCGGGGGGTGCAGGTCAGATTAAATGATGTGACGTTGGATTACAGTTGGAGACGCTATTATGAGCTCACGTTCACAGTGATTATACACAGAAATATTTAGACACATACACAGGTTCATATCCAGACATCCATTTCCATGGTTGGCTAGTTGAGAGGCTATCACACTCTCACACTCAGATAACACCGGATGCTGGAGGAATTAGCTGCTACAAGGATGGGCTCAGGAAACAGACAAGATGAGCATGGAGCATCTTGTACTCCCAAAAATTTAGGAAGTGCCCAAAAATTAAATGAGCAAAAATCAAAGTGAGGCGATGTATGGGAAAGCAGTTTATAAAACAGCGTGGTTTATAGGAATTGCGTGCTAGTGAGAATAAACGGCTCCAAGCACGACCCACGAGTCTCAAGCAACGGGCTGTATGTCTACTTTGAACTCTGCTGCTGCCTTCCTGGTTCTAGGAATCCTGACTCAGAGAGATGGCACTGCATTTAGAGACGCACAAGTTCTTGCTATTACAAAAAGCTCAATTACAGCCGACACAGACGTGAACACCTGCCCCTCAGACTTATATATTCTTTGGATCTGTCGGAGTTATGAGGCCTGGACTATAACATCTAAGAAGCCCATCAGGGAAGGTTAAGGGAGTAAGAACCATTGCCAAATGTCCAAGAGGGTTTTCTTGTGTTCTAAACAACACAGTATTTTATTCCTTAAAAACCAAGCCATTTCATTTTCCTCAATGTCTCCCCAAATGAAGCTATTGGCTTCTGGCTTTGGTCTGGCCCAACCCTGGCCACTGCAGCCATTTGAGGAACGAACCAGTGGATGGAAGATTGATATCTCTCTCTCGCTCTTGCTCTGAAACGCTGTCTTTCAAATAAATAAATAAATCTTTTTAAAAAAAGTTTTGGGGCCGGCACTGTGGTGTAGCAGGTAAAGCTGCTGCCTGCAGTGCCGTCATCCCATATGGGCACCGGTTTGAGTCCTGGCTGCTCCACTTCTGATCCAGGTCTCTGCTATAGCCTGGTAAATCAGTAGAAGATGGCCCAGGTGCTTGGGCTCTTGCACCCACATGGGAGACCTGGAAGAAGCTCCTGACTCCCAGCTGTGGATCTGCCCAACTCCAGCCACTGGGGAGTGAACCAAAGGATGGAAGACCTCTCTCTCTCTGTCTCTCCTTCTCTATGTAACTTTGCCTCTTAAATAAATAAATAGATCTTTTAAAAAAAACTTATTTAATAATAAAGTAATGACTATCTCATTTAATTCATTGCATGCTTTACTGAAAGTGAAAAATAGAATGATTGTAGGCTGGCCCAGCCCCAGCTGTTGCAGTTGTTTGGAGGATGAACCAACAAATGGAAGATTTCTCTTTTTCTTTCACTCTTTCAGATAATTAAAATAAATCTTTTTTTTTTTTAAAGAATGACCATATGGGCACACTTTCACATGATCATAATGTTGAAAAATCATTAAGTCAAACCATCCTAAGTCAGAGACCATCTGCATACTTGTATATGAGCATACAGGAGCAAAACACTGTTGTCATTATTTTGAACAAATCAGTATCTGTTAGATAAATTAATAAGAAAAAATATGGTTTTAATTTCTCTTCACTGTTCCTTCTCTAATGCTCTTCCCTTCTCTGTGTAGATCCAAGTTTCTTATGCATACCATTTCCTTTTCTCTGAAAAACGTTTTTTAAACATTTCTTGCAAAGCAGATTGACTGGCAACAAATTCCCTGAATGTTTGCCTGATAAAATCATTATTTCTCCTTTACTTTTGAAGGATAATCTCACAGGATACAGAATTCTAGTTTGGTGAGTTTTTTAAAAAATGCTAAAAATATTTTATTTATTTATTTGAAAGGCAGAGTTAGAGAGAGAGAAAGAGAAAGCGAGAGAGGGAGAGAGAGAGAGAGAGAGAGAGAGAGAGGGAGAGGGAGATTCCATCCTCTGGTTTACTCCCCAACACAGCTGCAACAGCCAGGGCTGTGCCAGGCCAAAGCAAGGAGCCAAGAGCCAGCAGCTTCCTCTGATCTCCCACACTGGTGCAGGGGCTCAAGCTCCTGGGCCGTCCTCCGTTGCCTTCCCAGCAGGGAGCTGGATTGGATGTGGAGCAGCCAGAACATGAACCAGCGCCCACATGGGATGCCAGCCCCGCAGACGGCAGCCCAACACTCTGTGCCACAGTGCTGGCCCGTTTGGTTAAGTTTCTCTTCCAGTGTTTTAAATATTCCACTGCATTGTCTTTCTTTTTTTTCCACGGTTTCTAGTGAGAGGTTGTAGGTAATAATTTTCCTTGTTTATCTATAGATTGTTTTTCCCTCTGCTTCCTTTAAGCATCTTTCTTAATCTTTGCTTTTCCAGTCTGAATATGATATGGCCACATGTAGCTTTCTGGGGGGAGGGATCGTTTATCCTGTTCATATTCTCTGAGCTTGTGAATGTGTGATTTGGTGTCTGATTTGAGGAAATTCTCAGTCATTGTTACGTCAGATATTTCTTCTGTTCCTTTCTCTGACTCTTTGTTCCCTCCCTCTGATATTCTCATTACAGGGACACTGCACCCTTTATGGTTGCCCCACAGTTCTTGGATTTTTCTTTTTCTTTTTTTTTCCCCTCTCTGTTTTTCTATTTTAGGAGTTTCTATTGACTTATCCTCAGACCCAGAGACCCTTTCTCTGGCTGTGTCCGGTCCACTTATAAGCCCATCAAAGGCACTCTTCATTTCTATTCCCGTGTTTTTGATGTCTAGCATTTCTTTTTGATTCTTTCTTAGACGTTCCATGTCTCTGCTTCTATTGCCCATCTGTTCTTTCACGCTGTCTAACCCTTAGCTTATTTTAAATCCCCAGCCTGATCGTCACAACACCCTTGCCATATCTGGAGTCTGGTTATGACACTTGTTTTGTCTCTTCAAACTGCATTTTCTGCTTTTCAGCATATCTCATCATTCTGACATCGCTGGAGGTCATATGCTGGGTAGAAGCACCGGCTGTACATAGGCTTGTAGTGGGATGCACCTTGCATTACAAGGGCTCCCAGTGTTGTAGGGAACCCGAGTACCTCTCAGGCCCCCGCCCTGCCGTTGCATGGGACAGAATGACCAGAGGGGGCTGGAACTAGAAATTTTCCCTCCACCAGCTCAGCTAGGTTCTGATAAAAGCCCAAGACTGGGCAGAGCTTCCCCTGAGGGCAGGCCTTGTTTAAAGGGGACAGACTGCTCTAGTGTCTTCCAAAATGGTGACTTCTCCCCTCCCCCTGCCGGCAACACAAGGGAGCTTTTCTCTGATACTCGCACTAAGAACCTGGTGGAGCTCCTCGAGGTGGATTCCATGCAAACGTGGTTACCACTCCCGCCCCGACCATAACCGGGCCACCCTGGAGTGTGTGGCTCTGAGATCTGGCCACACGGAGCCTGCAGTAATTTGTCAGCTACAGTTTCTTTTTCCTGCCCAGGCGCCTTTTCCCACAGTGGTTTCTGCTCCGGTAAATTGTGGATTCTCTGTAGTCATTGCGTTTCTGTCGCTGTCTCTCTCTCTCCAGATTTGAAGGCAGCGTTTTATCCTGTAGTCGCCTCACTTCTCTGATGGGTTTAAGTCAAAGCATTGATTTTTCAGTTTGGTCATCATTTTGTTTGTTAGAAGGGGCTGGTACCTCCAAGATCCTTCTACACTGGGCCACGCATCCTAACTCTAGAAGCTTGCCGTTCTTGGCGTGCACAAAATCTGGCTCATACCCTCCTCCGGCTTCCCCAGTAGTCCTCAGACAAGTGACCGTTCTGCCATGTTTTTACGTGGTAGCGGAAATAGAAGTGCTTCATGCCTGCCGAACATGGAGTTCACTGGCTCACTAATCAGCTTTCCCGGAGGAAATTAACTCAGAGCAGCCGTCATGCTTGAAACTGAGCCGCTATCCAGGCAGGGCCTTGCAGGCACATGCCACGTACCACCTACACAGCCTCTCCCCGTGCCCTCATTTTACTAACCCTAACCCACCGAGCTGAAGGAGTGGCACAGCCTGCGCTGCAGGGTCCTTGGACATAGCACTCAGCGAGGTCACTTATCTTCCCTCCATAGATAACAGCTTGATGTTGGGTCTCGTCTGTAGGAGTTGCTTTTCCGGGAACTCCAGGCTCTGAACAAAAAGTAATGAGCACTTGCAGAGAGCTAACTGGAGCCCACTTTGACATCAGCAAAAGAACACCGAATGGCGAGCCAGTCGGAGGCGGGCCATGAGCACGGTAGACCAACCCGGGACCTGGAACATCCCAGCATCCGTCTGTGAGATCCCACTCCTAACCCCTCGGGGAATACTTACTCTCCTCCACCTCTCCAGTGTCGGCGATTGGCTTGCTGTGCATCAGGGGAGCAGACCTAGGCTGGAGGTGTCTATAGCAAATCCTCCAGCTGGTCTCGGGGGTGTTCTAGGGCATTCTGAATGGAGGGTGATTTTACCTTCCAAGGAGCATTTGGAAAAGTCTGGAGACATATTTGGTTGTCACAACTGGGGACCGTGCTACCGGCCTCTTGTAGGCAGTGGGTGCCGCTGACCCGCCTACATCTCACAGGGGGCTCCCCGGCAGCAAAAATCACCCCGCCCAAAATGTCAGTAGTGCTAAAGTTAAAAAAAAAATCCTGCCCTAAATTAACGCCATACTTTCCTTCCCCTAGTCCCACTCTCCACCCTCCCGCCTCGCCTCCATCTTCAATGTAACCATAGCGTTGAACAAATTGAATGCCTCCCATGCCATTGTACAATTTCAAATTAAACTTATGATAATGCTTTGGTCTTTTCACCATAATTAAGATGCAGCCGACACTCCCCCGTCTACTGCACACCAGGCAACTTGTGTGCTGGTGTCCTTTCTTATCTTGCTTCGTTCATTCTCATCAGATGGTGACAGAACCCTTACCATGTGCCAGGTCCACGACTATGGGGAAAGAGCTGCTGGCCCCATTCGTGCCGACAAGGGAGCTGAGGCTCAGAGAGGTTAAGTGATGTGGCCCAAGTCACACAGCTCACATAACCGGGTGCCAGTCAGACTTGGAGGCCAGGGCTCTTTGTGGTGTGTCAGGGTACTGCTGCCTGTGCTAAGTGAAGACACCATCACCCTTCGCTGTGCTGGGACTGGTGGGCACCTCATGGAGGCTGGCACTGCGCATCAGCCACTGTGGGGACAACAGGGGCAGAGTTGAGGAGGCGGCACCACCATGGCAGGGAGAGGACTAGAACCCCAATGTTCCAAGTCCCCACCCAGGTGCTCTGCAGGCCTCCCAGAGAGAGTGAATGGGTTTTGATGGGGATAATAGTCTCTCCAAATACACTCACTGCTAGTCTTTCCTATTGAGCAATTCAGCTTTCAACTGCTCGGGACATTAGACCAAAGGATGGGTGTTTTGTCTTCTTTTTTCCCCTGCCTTTTTCTTTTTGAGGGAAAGCAATTTGCTCCTTTCTGATTTAGAATGAGATCTGGCAAGTAAGGGCTTGTTCTCCCACTCCCTCCCCACCCTGTAGTTAAAGAAAAAAAAAAACCATCTCGGGGAGAGCGCGAGGGAGAAATAAGCACACCGGATCCATGCTAAGCAAAACCATTTGCATAAGCCGTACACTGGGTTCTCAGAGCCTGGGCTCATCTAACCTATGACAAATTCCTCCGTCTCGGCTACCTGCCAGCTACGTTTTCATCGGGGCTGGCAAGGCAACTGAAGTCTACATTCTGTACTAATTAACAACCTTCAGGGGAGAAGACCACCAATTGCAATGCCAGCACACTTCGCTTGTTAAAGGGGACAGGGGGCCTTGTTGGACAAGGCCCAGGCTTTTTTCTTTGGGTGGTGGGCGGGTAAGCAGGCCAGGAAGGGTGAGGGGGTGGGCGGGGGGGGGTGGCGTGGGGTGGGGCGCAGTCAACAGACCAAAAAGACAAACTGCCAGTTGCGGGAAGAGTTGGGAGGGCACGTGCACACACCAGGGCCTCGCAGGGAACCCCGCACTTCTGCAAGGTGACTCCGGAGCAAGCGGGAGGGGCCCTGGCAGGAAGGGGCTGTCTTCAGGGCACAAGAGCTCTGTGAACCCCAGAACTGCAGGAGGGGGTCCTGCTATCATGGACAGCCCCCACCCAGCAACAGGTCAGCTGCCTTATCTCCAGGCAAGAGCTACACTGGAGCCGCCAGCCACACCCCCAGGGCAGACGGCCATCCCCCTAGGGAAGCTCCAGCTTCTTCCAGTGCAGAGATCAGAGCTATGGGCCACCAGCCACCAAGAGGCACCCTCATCGAGTTTCCCCTGCCGTTGGCCGGGGCATGGCGTGGGGTGGGGATAATGGGAGGACTTTCGGTAGAGAACGTTCAGGGTGGGCAAGAATCGTTCCTGGTCTCCCTGTGCAAGCCCACTGCTCGTATAGCCTGCTGCTGTGAGCTGTCACCCTTTGGCCACCACCTTCTGTAGACTCAAGGTGCCATCTTCCTTCTTCTCCACCTGCAAATGGAGACGGCCTCTGGCCACAGAGCATCAGGACCTGAAGGGACCCTAGGGGGTCAAGTCCCTGACCTGCCTGGCTCCTTAGAAACTAACCCTAGGTGGCTGATGACAGTAAGCTTATAAACAAAAAATAGGAAGGGACCCCCAGGGTGCCCTTTCTCCCAGCCGCATGTTGGAGGGCTTGGGGAATGGCTCTGGAGAGAGGACTCAAACCCAATACTTCTGTCTGCTGCTGCTTCTCCCAGGACCTCCCTCCCACCTGCTCAGCAGGGCCCCTCCTGGAGGGGACACGAGCCCTGTCTCTTCCAACTCCACGTCTCACACCCTCATCAGCAAACCTCCGACTGGGAGCTAGCTCCTTACTTGCATTTGGACAACGAGAGGGAAAGTGAAGGGGCAGGGGCGGGAAGGGTCCTCTTCTCTGAGGAGGACCCTGGAATAGGAAGATGGGGTGCCCCTCTGCTCTCTCCTAGCCCCTGCAGGCCCCAGCCACCCCCGTATCCCCAGCCCCATGCTTCATTAAGGGAGCACAATGTGTCCCCGTGGTCGCCTGCCAGCCGGGATGTCCTGTGTGACAGCAGATGCAAAGAGAATGAACAGGCGGCTGAAAGGGCCGGGGACAAAAAGAGCACATTGTCCAGAGCTCTGAAAGGACTGCCTGAGAGGGGACATATGCATCTGAAAAAAATACCCCAGTGGGTCTCCCCCCTGCTGGCCTCAGCCCGCCCTCACCCAAACCTTCCACTGACGCTGCACAATGATGTCTTCAAGCCAGGCACAGCCAGGCCAGCTCGAGGCGAACAGCAGGCGTGGGGCTAGTGGACAAGGGTGGAGGGAAGGGTCTTGTGGGCACAGGTGCCCTCAAGGGAGATTTTCCACCCTGCCATCCACACTGAGCAGAACCACGTCCAGAGATCACCTGGCCTCACCCTCTGGCTCTGGACGTGGAACCACAGAGGCTCAGCAGAGATGACTCGCGCCAGCTGGGACAGTAGGGACGGCGTGACCTCCCTGCCCTCTCCTACCCCTCTCCCTACACTTCTAGGGGCCACGGCTGTGCAGGCAGAGGATGGAAGGGGGGACTTCTGGAGGGCTTGGGTCTTCTTCCTGGGCCTCTCCTCTGCTGCTCTGCTAGGGGAAGAGGCCCCAACTCAACTTGGAAAGAGATCGCGTCCCACCCATAAACATCCCAGGGCTTCGGCTGCATTTGCAGGGGTGGGACTCCAGGAACAGGGAGAAGAAGCAAGAGGGAACGCTTGCAGGCAAGCCGGGACGTGGTGAGGGGAGGCTTCGCGGGCCAGCCACAGGGGAAGGACACACGGTTTAAAGTCGAATGCAAGTCCACGGCTGCTGCTTGGTTGTGTGAACTTGGGCAATGAGTGAAACCTCTTTAAGCCTCCGCACAGGAAAAAGCAAGGCTAATACCATCGCCAGTGGCAATTTCGTTACCCACGCCAGTTCTGGTACTGACACTACAGTTAGCGATGCCTGCCCTGCCTCTCCCAGACAGCCCCTGGAGGAGGATCAAATGCAATGCAGTGGGAGAAGGGACCTTGGAGGCTACAGTGGGCTTCAGAAACGAGAAGATCATTTTGACGTTAAAAAGCTTTGGGGGATGATACTGTTGTCCATGGTCACATTCCGCTGTAGGTTATTTTCCAAACCAGCCATTGCTTCTGAGATTTGGACTGTCTGGAAGAGGGGAGGTAGATTTGCTGGGAGTCAGGGCCTTTTTATAAATCAATGGTAAATTTGATAATTGCTCCTCTGAACCATAATGAGCCCAGGAACACTCTAGAAAATAAACTGTCTTAGAAAGAAAGGAATGTGTGTGGGCATCACAGCCCCTGTAGCCTGTCTCCGGTGGGTTTTCTGGCCTGAGAAGCGTCCCCTCTCCACCTGGGGGCCACTTCCTTCTTCCTCCTCAGCCCCTCCCAAGATATCCTCAAGCGGACCCCCCAGCCTCAGCCTGCATATCCCCGGGAAATGAGCTCACGGCTGTGTGCTGGCAGATGTGGGGAAGTCTGTGTGGTCTCTCACAACAGCTGTTCAGAATTCTTTTCCCCTGAAAGTTTCCATTCTGTATGCTGGATGTGGGGCAGGGGGCGGGGGGTGGGGACGGGGGGCGGGCAGAGCAGGAGAGGATGGGCGCGCTCCACGCGGTCTTGCTTCTTTGAGACCTCTGTGTTTCAGAGACATGGTGTGCACTGGAAGATGTCATCCAGGAGTTTATTTTGCTCCAGATGTATGACACCAGCATCTCCGATTCGGATTATACACATTGTGTTGCCATGCCAACACACACACGCGCGCGCACACACACACACACACACAGGCACACACATGCTAGTGTCCCAGAATGTGTTCTGCATTGCAGAGGGAACAAGGAGGCCACAAGAACACTCTTTCTCTCGAAGGAGTTCTCCATTGTGACATCAAGTAATGTGTTCCTGAGCCAATTAGGAGCTCAGAAGCCAGAGGAGAGGGACTGGGCTTTGTGGAGGAGGTGGGGTGTGACCAGGCTGGGGCAGAGGATAAACTTGGGTGCAGGACACGGGGACAAGCCACTTCCTCCCAGCCACGTGCATCCTGCCCTATGCCCTCCTGGAATGAAAAGACCCAGTGGAGACTAAAAAACTGGTCAATTCCCCATCTTCAACAAGACTCATGACCACGTGGTCCCCTCCCAGTTGTAAAACTTATCCAAGGCAAAGAGTCCAGAATCTTCAAACTGCTCTGGGGTTTTATGATCCAATTATCCACAAATATTTCCTCCTATTTGCTTTTATTTAATTTTTAAAAATTTGTTTGTGTATTTATTTGAGACGCAGAGAGAGACAGAGACAGAGAGATCTTTCATCTGCTGGTTCGCTCCCCCAGATGGCTGCAACCGCTAGATCTGTGCCAGGCTAAAGCCAAGAGCCTGGAACTCCAATCGGGTCTCCCACATGGATGCAAGGGCCCCAGCACTTGGGCCATCTTCCACAGCTTTCCCAGGTGCATTAGCAGGGACCTGCCTTGTATGGTCAGAATCAGAGCAGCCGGGACTTGAACTGGTACTCATATGGGGTGCTGGTCGTGCAGGCAATGACTTAACCCTCTGAGCCACAATGCCAACCCCTCATATTTGTTTCTAGTCTCTTTGACGTTTACAACCTAAAAGCAGATCTAAAACTTAAGGAACTCAAGGCTTCAAATAGTTCCAGCAGGCAAAAAGGCTCTCACACAACCAACATTGTTGAGCACTTTCTATGTGTCGGGCTGCACATCAGGAATTCAGAGGAAAAGGAAGTACAGTATTGCTGTCTTCAAGATACAGTGTAGGCCGGCACCGCGGCTTACTAGGCTAATCCTCCGCCTTGCAGCGCCGGCACACCGGGTTCTAGTCCCGGTCGGGGCGCCGGATTCTGTCTCAGTTGCCCCTCTTCCAGGCCAGCTCTCTGCTGTGGCCCGGGAGTACAGTGGAGGATGGCCCAAGTGCTTGGGCCCTGCACCCCATGGGAGACCAGGATAAGTACCTGGCTCCTGCCATCGGATCAGCGTGGTGCACCGGCCGCAGTGCACCAGCCACAGCGGCCATTGGAGGGTGAACCAATGGCAAAGGAAGACCTTTCTCTCTGTCTCTCTCTCTCACTGTCCACTCTGCCTGTCAAAAAAAAAAAAAAATACAGTGTAGCAAGCAATTAAAGCACAAGGTCAGAAGGTCTGTTATAAAACACACAAAAAATCCATAAGCAAAAGTTACTACCTCTGTGTGGAGGTTGAAGAATGCTAAGGAGGTCTTTACAGAGGAGGTTATGGTTGTGATGGGCTTTGAAGCATGGATAGGAGTTTGTCAGAAAGCCAGAGGGAGGAAAGGCCTAGGAGTCAGGGGTGTAATGCAGGCAGAGACGTGTGAGCAGCCCCTCATGTCCTTGGGAGCTTGCTCTGACACCCAGCACTCTGTCCATCAGCCTACAGCAACAGCATCGCATGTATCGTGGAAGCTTTAGCAAACCCCATGCAAGGCAGGATTTCAGGAGCAGGGAACTGGGGGTTGGTGTGATGAAGGAGTCGAGTGTGTCTGCTGGCTGTCGATCAGTGTGCTCTCCGGAGTTTCTGTCCCGTCAAGGGCTCTGTGGTCCCAACCTCAAGGGTGGAGGGGGCGATGCCGCAGGAGCAGGCAGTGCCAGAGCAGCCGTGGAGCTGGAAACAGCATGGGCCAGGCTGGCGCGGACGCGCCTGGGCTGTGTGAATGCGCTCATCGTCACAGTTCTGGGACAGGAGTGTGCCCGTGAGCCCTGGACAAGAAGAGGGCAGAGTCGGGGGGAGCA